CCCACCCCTGCCAGGCTTCTCTGGCCCCCGGGCTGTGGATTGCGTAGAGGAGGTCATTGTGCCCCAGGTGGGTCACAGCCTGGGCTCCACCTGGGTCCCCAGCCACCGGCAGGTAAACCCACCCACACGGCGCATGAAGAAGCTGAACTGGCAGAAGCTGCCGTCCCACGTGGCACAAGGTGAGGACCCCACCCCATTGGTGGCTTCCCTCTTGGGGCAGACTGGGCCCTGCTGGGGAGAGTGGCAGGTGGTGCCTGTAGCAGGTGTGCTCATATCTGGGCCCCCCTGGGCCAGGGCGGTCTGTCTCTGCTCTGGGTTCAGCCCCTGGGTGGCCTGGGGTGGGGGCAGGGGGCAGGAATGCATCAGAGGTCACCTGTGAGGACTCTACTCCTACACACCTTTGAAGCTGGCGTGTGTCTGACGCCTCAGCCCCTGCACTGTTCAGGCCCCTGGGTGCTTGTCATCCTGGGGGCCAGGGTCCTGTGCTCAGAAAAGGTCACGGCCACGGCCAGCTAGAGGCCAGGTCGCCTACCTGCCTGGACAGGCGCAAGGCCAGGGGAGGTGTGAGCCTCGCTGGCCCTTACCTGCAGAGCACAGCTCCATGTGGGCCTCGCTGAGCTCCCTGAGTGCCGAGGTGGTGGAGCCTGACTTCTCCAGCATCGAGCAGCTCTTCTCCTTCCCTGTGGCCAAGCCCAAGGAGCCAGCAGCGGCCCCGCCCAGGAAGGAGCCCAAGGAGGTGGGACCTGGGTTTGGGGAGTGTCCCCCTTCGCCCCCATGCTGCCTTCCAGGGACCAGCTGACGGGCAGGGTGTTTTCCAGATCACTTTCCTGGACTCCAAGAAGAGCCTGAACCTCAACATCTTTCTGAAGCAGTTCAAGTGGTGAGCTAGAGATCGAGCCCCCCTTCCTGGTCACGGGGCCCCAGCCTCCCCCAGCTGTTCATCTTGGCTCGGCTGTGCCCTCTGCAGGCTGCCCCTGGGAAGTGCACATCCCGTCTCAGGCCAGAGACAGTGGGATAATAGCCATGGACTGTCCCAACTGGGGGCCCTGGAGACCCCAGTCCAGAGCCCCTGGGTAAAAAGACCCAGAGAGCAGCTGGGACCACCCCCCAAGTCCACAGACAGGTGGTTGCCAAGCCAGAGTGAGGACCTGGCCCTCCCAGCCCCCAGTTCTTCCCTGCAGGTCGAGCACTGGCCCCTGCACGGAGCCCACTGAGTTTGCAGCTGACCCATCCTCCTGTGCCTTGAGCAGTCACCCAGAAGGGGAGGCAGAGGGTGCTCTGGCCAATGGAGCATGGGTTATTCAGCCCCAGCCTCGTTGCTGTGTGACCCGGGCAGGTGGCTCACCTTCTCTGTGCCCCCCAACCTCATGAATGTGGGAGGAGCCCCTGGTGTGACCAACAGAGGTGTCATGATCCAAGGGCTGTCCCCACCTAACTGGCAGGGTCTCTTTTCCACCCCCCAACCCACCTCTGCCCATCTTCTCACCCCCTCCAGCTCCAACGAGGAAGTCACTGCTATGATCCGTGCAGGGGACACCACCAAGTTTGATGTGGAGGTGCTCAAGCAGCTCCTCAAGCTCCTTCCTGAAAAGCACGAGGTCAGTGGGATGGGACGGCAGCCCTGCCCGGGGCTCCTGGGGGGAGGTGGAGAGGCTGGCCCCACTGCACCCGATATACCCAGATGTGAGCGGGCGAAGCCACCAGACAGTCTAAGGGGTTTCTTGGTGGGGAGCAGAAGCTGGAACTCCACATGTGGGCCTCCTCCCTACAGATCGAAAACCTACGTTCATTCACGGAAGACCAAGCCAAGCTGGCCAGCGCTGACCAGTTCTACCTCCTCCTGCTGGGCATCCCCTGGTGAGCTCAGCTGCCTGCCCGGGGAGGGACAGGGAGGGAGCTGGGCCCAGCCCTGAAAGACAGAGCGGGGCCATGCGGACCATCCCCAGGATCCATGCCCACCTCACTCAGGCACCCTCAATCATGGGGCCTCTCAAGGGGACCTGTAGTGTCAACAACGTGGGGAGGGGGTGGACAGAGCCCTGTGCCTCCCTGAGAGACCCCAGCCCAGAATCTGGCCATTCTAAGAAGGAGGGATGCCCCACAGGTTGGCAATTGGGCATCCCTGGGACTGGGTACTGGTCTGACACGGCCCTTCCTGGGTCCCACCCCCACCCCGTCCTGCTGAATCTGCCCCTGGGGCCCAGCCCAGGAGTGTGATGTGGAACAGGGACAGGGGTGGGACCCCCAGCTCTGTGCCGAGTGGAGTCTCAGGCCTTGGCCCCCGCGCTGTGGGCCCAGGGCAGAGGGTGCCAGGCCTCGGCCCTGACCACCTGCTCTGCCACCTAGCTACCAGCTGCGGGTCGAGTGCATGCTGCTGTGTGAGGGCACCGCTGTGGTGCTGGACATGGTGCGGCCCAAGGCCCAGCTGCTGCTCACCGCCTGCGAGAGTGAGTGGGGCCCGGAGCCCTGGGGGCAGCGCGGGTGGGGAACCCATCCAGCCCTGGGCTCCAACATCTAGACCGTCCCTGAGAGTGCCCGTGGGTGCTGACCTTCCTCACCTCTCAGACCACTGGTGTACACACAGACTCATGCACACACAGACCAGGGAAGCCACGGGTTCTGGAAGATTCTGCTCAGCGCTCCTCACCCAGGGAATGGGGCACTGGCCATCTGCCCCGGGTTGTGAGGGTCAGCGAGCACTGCTGGGGACCCGCTCCCAGAGCCCCCAGCTTGCCTGGGAGGGGGCTCCGGCTGCCCTCTGCACACCCCTCTGAGCAAGCCCTTCCCTCCTGCAGGCCTGCTCACCAGCCGCCAGCTGCCCGTCTTCTGCCAGCTGATCCTGAGGATCGGGAACTTCCTCAACTACGTGAGTGGCTGCACTCTGGCCACCCTTGCCCCCCACCCCCTGCCAAGAGGCCGGGAGACTCACTCCTGTCCCCCACAGGGCAGCCACACAGGGAACGCCGACGGCTTCAAGATCAGCACGCTGCTGAAGCTCACCGAGACCAAGTCCCAGCAGAGCCGTGTGACGCTGCTGCACCACGTGCTGGAGGTGGGCTGGCGGGCGCAGCCCACGCGGCTGGTGCCTCTCTACTGTGTGTCCCCAGCCACCCCACTCAGCCCCTTTTGGGAGCCCCCCAGTGAAACCCCGTCTCTCCCGCCCCTCCTCCAGCTCCCCTCCAGGCCCAGGGGAAGGGTGGGAGGCCCATAGTTCCAAGGCCTTTTAGAAGGGCGTGGCCCTTAGCTGCTTGGGGCTGGGGGCCAGCAGAGGGATGGGCTGGGGCATCCCCAGGGCCAGGCGGTGGCCACAGCTATCTCCCTGTTGCAGGAGGTGGAGAAGACCCACCCAGACCTCCTGCAGCTGCCCCAGGACCTGGAGCAGCCCTCCCAGGCAGCAGGGTAGGTGCCTCCTGCCCCTGGCAGCTCACCTGAGCCAGGCCCCTCCTCTGGTCCCTGCCAGTGAGGTGGCTGGACCAGGCCAGGTCTCAGGGCTGCAGCACAACCCCGGGTTCCCCAGGAACCACCCCCCAACAGCACACCCGCTTCTCCTTGGGACAGGACCTCGTGTCCACCCCGGCCTGTCCCCGTGTGGCTTAGAGGAACAGCGGGAGGCCTAGAAGATGCAGGGAATGACCTGGCAGTGGTCAAGCTGGGGGCTGGTCTAACGCAGCCTCTTTAAAGGCTGGCCCCTGAGCAAGGCTGTACCACCACCACGGTATAGACAGGGGACCTGACGCCCAGGAAGAGGGGCACATTTGTGGAGTCACAAGGTCTGGAGGGAGGGGACGTCTCTGGGGGTGCAACCGGGCTGTCCAGCTCCAAGGTCCCCTGCTGTGGATGGAAGGTCCTCTGGTCCTAGCAATGCAGGCCCAGCCCCTGCTCTCAGAGCACCTCACCCCACACTGCTCGGTCCCTCCCAGAGCTCAGACGTGCTCCTGGGCAGCCTGGGGTGTGCAGGGCGAGGACCCTGCTGTCCAGCTAGGCTGGACGTCAGCTGTCACCTGACCCCGCTTGGCCTTTAGGATCAACGTTGAGATCATCCACTCGGAGTCCAGCAGCAACCTGAAGAAGCTCCTGGAGATGGAGCGGAAGGTGTCGTCCTCCGACCCCGAGGTGCAGGAGCAATACGCCCAGCGCCTCCAGGTAAGTGCGGGTGGCAGGGCCCGGGGGGTGGATCTTCATGGTGCTGAATGTGATCTCCAGGGAGGCAGCCCCTCAGGTATCCTGTGTCTGCCAAGCCTGGTGTCCATTACGGAGAAGAGCAGGCTGGGTGGGGCGGGTGAGCATGGGGTGGAGGGCAGAGTGAGGGACCCATGCTGGGTCCTGCACGCGAGGAGCCGCCCCTGATCCTAGGGTCCGCTGCACCGGGAGCCCTGGCCCTGCACAGAGACCACTGTCTGCAGGCCTGTGCTGGTGGCCATCACCCTCTTGCATCCATGGGCCCCGCTTGAGGCTCCAGGTCGGACTGTCTGCCTCTGATAGTGGGTGGCACCCACCGTGGGCCCTCACAGGGCCTTGACCGTGCCCCGTGCCCCCAGGCCAGCATCGAGGCCTCCCAGGAGCTGGAGGAGGTGTTCAAGGACATCGAGCAGAAGAAGCTGGAGTTGGCCAACTACCTGTGCGAGGACGCCCAGCAGCTGTCCCTGGAGGACACGTTCAGCACCATGAAGACCTTCCGGGACCTCTTCATCCGCGCCCTGAAGGTGGGCTAGAGCTTAGAGGCTGGAGCGGGGTCCCATGGCCCCCGGCTGGCCGCGGGCGGGACAGGCACGGGTGGGGTGAGCAAGGGCTGGGGCCACGGGCTCCGTGTCTGCCCGCAGGAGAACAGGGACCGGCAGGAGCAGGCGGCCAAAGCGGAGAAGAGGAAGCGGCAGCTGGCGGAAGAAGAGGCTCAGAGGCCGCGGGGCGAGGACGGGAAGCCTGGTGAGGCCCGGGCGGGAGGACGGTGGCGCTCCCTCCTCAGTCTTGCAGGGCCACCCAACCCGCTGTGGGTCATCTCCCTAGGCCACCGGGTGGGTGGGCCCTGGGAACCCTGGGAACCACGTCCCTGAGGGTCCCGGGGCTTCTCAGTCAGGAAAGGAGGCAAGAAACAGGAGGAGGTGTGTGTCATCGACGCGCTGCTGGCCGACATCAGGAAGGGCTTCCAGCTGCGGAAGACGGCCCGTGGCCGAGGGGATGGAGAAGGGGGCAGCAGGGTGGCCGCTGCAGACCCCCCGAGGGACAAAGCACCTGGTGAGACCCTCACCTGCCTCTTCACAGTTCTCTTTCTGCCATTCCCTGCCTGTGCCATCCTTTTGGCCCAACATCTCCTTCCTCCAGGAAGCCCTCCCTGATTTCTCAAGGGAGCCCTCTCATCTCCCCTGCTGGCCTGAGATAGGGGACAGCCATGAGGTGGGGCTAGAGAGGCCACCTGCCCTGACATTTCCATGTGTCTCTGCTAATGTGACAGCCATCTGTCCAGCCCCGGGGTGGGCAGGAGAGATGGGACTAAAGGGCCTGTTGAGAGATGCCCCTGGGGCTAAGTTCCCTTGTGGACAGACTGAGGACACTAAGGCCGGGCCTGACCTGTGGGAACCAACGCTTGGAGGCCACCAGGGAAGACTCCCAGGGGTGGGGGGCATTCGGTAGAAGCTGAGATGGAGGGAGGCCCCCTGCTTGGGCTTATCCTGAGCAGGGTGCCATCAGAATGGCTGGGAGGGTACCCTACCCTCCACCTACCTGTACTCCATCCACAGTGGCCTCCAGTGACCCCGCAGGAAGCCCTGTGGGAGGCACCAGTTGCCCCGCCTCTGGGCCTGGTCTTGACAAGGTACCAGCCAAGCAGCCCCAGGACTGGGACCTCGTGGATGCCACCCTCCCCAGCCCGAAGCCTGCTGGAGACCCGTCGGAGGAGGAGGGCCCCCAGTCCCAGGGGAGGCGGTCCTCCTGGTACGTCGATGCCAGTGACTTCCTGTCCACGGAGGACCCCCCGAGTCCCCAGACCTCTGCAGTGGCCTGGCCAGTGGTGCTAGGGGACACTCGGGCCCTGAAGCCCCTCCAGTTTTCCAGTGACAAGCCCCCTGGGGCCCTGGGTTCGAGCCAGGACACTGAGGACCCCACAGCCCCCTGGGGCATCTGCCAGGCCGAAGCTGACAGCACAGGAGAGGGGCTGGAGGACACAGCTGCCCACAGCCGAGGAGCCGGCCTTCCCGCCGTGGGCCCTGGAGGGGACCAAGACAAGGAAGACACGGCCCAAGATTCCGCCCTGGACACGTCCCTGGACAGGTCCTTTGAGGATTCGGTGACTGACTCCTCGGGATCTGGCACCCTCCCCAGATCCCAGGGCCGGGCCTCGAAGGGGTCAGGCAGGCGAAAGAAGAAGCGCCCATCACGGATCCAGGAAGGTAGCGTGGGGCCTCCTGTCACTGTATCCCCAGCAGGACCTGGGTGGGCGAGTCACACAGAACGCCAGGCTCCGGGCTCCGGCGTGTGGTCAGGCTCCTCCGTACCGTGCCAGGACCCTGGGCCTCTCTCTGCAGCCAGAGGTCCCCCTTGCCCCCAAGAGCCGGTAATTCCCGGGGTGGCCTGAGCCCTGCAGGGGAGGAGTCAGCTTTGGGGGCCACTGCCCGCATCGCTGCACCCTAACCCACTAACTCCTGCCCACACTGCCTGCACCAGGGAGGCTGCCCGGTGCGGGGTGGGGGGCCGGGGCACGGCTGCATCTTGGCTCAGGGTCCACGCAGCCCCGCTCCACATTTAGGATGCTGGGGACTGATCACTGGTTGAGTTCATTTCTTTTATTTGAAAGCAGAGCTTGCCCCTGACTCTGACGGTAATAAAACAAAAAGATTCTGTGTGATCCAGTAAGGTAGGTCCTCGGCCTGGCGCCCTGCACTAACAGTGGTGGTGGCGGTGGGGACGGGCCTGCCCGGCCCTCCCAGACACTAACCCGGCTTCCCTGCAGCCGCCCAGGCCTCAGCAAGCGTCTGCCATCCTATGCCGCTTGTAGTGGGGCTCACCTGGCCCCAGCATCCCCACCCTCTCTGGGAGGGTGGGAGCCATGCTTTGCTTAGCTGGTGCCTTCTCTGCTGGGGCAGGTGCAACCTCGGAGCTGCCCGCTGGGCAAACAGGCCTTGAGAGGGTGGGATGGACAGGGCCCACTTGGGTATCCTCTGGGAGCAAGGTTCCAGGGCCTGTGGGAGGGGGGCTGTTGGCCTGAGCCTGGTAGGACAGGCTGAGGCTGCTTGTCCCTAACCCCACCTAATCCTTGGCTTTACTGACACCTCCACCCTGTGTCCCCCAGGGTGACACCTTTACTCTGGGTTTGTCCACAGGACACACTCCAGCCCTCCTGTGGCCCTGGTGCTGGCCACCAATGTCCACAGGGAGGCAGTGAGGGACAGGACGGTCCCAAGGATAGGCTGCCAGGGACGAGCAGACCGCACCCCCTCAGTGGGGTCTGTGGCACCCTCTCCCTGGAGGCTGGGTCCCGGAGACAGGGAGTGGGTCTGCTGAGATGCAGGCACCAACCCCATGTCCTGTGTGCAGGACAGGCAGGGTCTTTGATGCTGCCAGGGAGGCTCACAGTTGCAGCCACACAGACAGGCTGGGTGCCTGCTGCGTCCTGGCCTGTGCCGAGTGAGGGACACCCAGTGCAGGGAACCCCCATCCCCCACCTGGTCAGGACCACCCGTTCCCCGTGTGCCTCCAGCCATGCTTAGGCAGCCAGTGTCCGCTCGGCGCCGTAGCCTCACGCTGCCTGACGGCCTGGTTAGGACCCAGGTGCAGAGGTGAGGTCCGGCAGGCTCCGGAGGAGCCGGGAGCAGGGGTGCAGTTGAGTGCACCTCTCCATACAGGTTGTCCTCACTGTCACACTTTCCTCGGGGTGGGTCCTGGTCATTCCCTGAGTTGTGCTCTGGTGTCACCCATATGCCCTTTACAGCAGTGCTGGGCGTGTCCTTTAGGGGCCAAGATTTGGCTTGTGGCCCCAGCTGCTGTGCTGGCTTTGGGAGTGGGTTTGGCTGCATGGTCTGTGGGTTTGTGGCCACTGTCTAGCTCAAGATCAGTGTGCCCAGTGCGGGGCTGTGCTCCCCCGTCACTGCTGGCCAGGTGGGGGCACCCAGTCCGCATGCGCCAGGGTTAGCTGCGCCCTCCCGGTCCCACCAACCCCATGGCTGAGGGCCCGAGGAAGCAACCTCATGTCTTTGTTTCCCAGCTTTTTATTTGGAAAAACTTCAACCTGATAGGAAATTTTATATATATATATGTGTGTATATATATATATATTTTTTTAAATTGATTTCAGAGAGCGGAAGGGAGAGGGAGAGATAGAAACATCAGTGGTGAAAATCATTGGTCAGCTGCCTCCTGCATGCCCCTATTGGGGATGGAGCTGGCAACCCGGGCATGTGCCCCGACCGGGATCAAACCGCAATCTCCTGGATCCTAGGTCAATGCTCAACCGCTGAGCCACGCCGGCTGGGCCCTAACGGAAAGTTTGCAAGGAGATTAAAATGAATACCACCTGCCCTTCACCCTGGAATGGCAAAAACTTGCAAAGTTGTTCGTATCTGGTGGCCTGTGCCCCCACAGCCAGGCAGCGACGGTCCCTCCCAGCCAGGTGTCCTGGTCACACCCTCGTGGGTGCTGATTTCGTCGCCAGCCTCTTTCTACCTGTGTGGCACTGCGATCGGGGAAAACACCTTCACTTTGGGTGTGTCCCATCTCCCCCGTCCCCCCAGGTCCTGATGGCGTTTGGTGCAGGATTTCTACACCTGTGACAATTGTCCCACCAAGAGCCTCATGGGACAGCTGAGGGCAGTTTGTCTGGTGCTTAGTGACAGTAACCGCGATCACCTGGCAGGGTGGTGATGTCAGGTGTCATTGACTGGAGCACAGCCCGGCGTGGTGCCGGGAGTGAACGTCCCCCGGTTTGCCTGGTGGCTGCAGAACGCTGGCTTCTGTCCTACAGCCCCTTCTCCCCCTGCAATTCTGAGTCTCCCGTGTGGGTGACCCCTCCCTGTCGTCACAGTGGCACTTCCAGGCCCATGCTGCCTCCTGTGCCCTCTGTTAGCAATCCCTCCGCCCCCTCCCTGCCCATTTGCCCTGGCCCTCCGCAGTGGAAGTGGGCGGGGCACCCACGGTCAGGGGTTTCTGACGGTCTGTTTCTGCCACACTTGCCCTGTCTTCTGAGCAGTGGTTCTCAGGACACGCAGGGACAGCACCCGGCTCCAGGGTGGCCGCGGGGGTGGGGAGCTGGCAGGAACTGGGAGGGAGGGCCCCTGGATCAGAGAGCACCAAGGGCCTCGGATGGGCAGGGGCTGCTGGGCCAACTGGGAGGTGTGCAGGTGGGGGGGGGCTCAGGTGCCCTCAGGCCTCAGCCGGAAAGGGACCCAGCAGGAGGAGTCCGGCGTGAGGGCCGGTGCAGATGTGACTGAGGAAGTTCCAGGGAGAGGAGGTGACAGTGGGGACCCATAAGCGTAGACAGTGTAGCCTGGGCCTGAGACACAGGAGAGTAAGACGCAGGGCCCCGTCCACCTCAGGTGAGTCCCAGCCTCCACAGGTGGGCAGGTGCCAGCACCTTCCACCTAGAGAAGCCCTGCTGCCAGAGAAAGGGCCTGGGTCAGAGTGGACCAGGGGCACAGCACAGCCCACTGGGCAGTGGTGACAGACAGCGGGGGCCTGGGGACCCAGACGCAGGCACCCGGGCGCTACCTCCAGCAAGACTGCTCCTAACCCTCATTTCCCGTCTCCCCCGCAGGCCTCAGGCCCAAGCCCAAAGCCAAGTGACAGAGCCTGCTGGCTGGCCTCTGGGCAGCAGTGGGCCGCTGGACGTGCTGCTGACCGGGGGAGCGTCCGGGGCCAGGCTGGGACTGGGCCCTGGGACAACGGAACTCTGTGCCTTACCCAGCCAGGGACTGGCTCCGAAGCCTTCTGGGGGCATTGTGGCCGGGTCCCCAACAGGCACCAGGCCAGCCCTCCTGGCACCCTCTGGACGGCCGCAGGCCCCCAGCCCTCGCGGTCCCTTCGCTGAAGCCCATGGCGCCCCTGCATGCACATGGTGCCGCCCAGGGAAGAGTCCGGTGGCTGCATCCCCCCGGCGCCTCTACGCTTGCACCCACTTTCCAGTGACCTGCGCCCAGATTCTTCTGGAGACCCCTCTCCGAAGCCATGGGAGCCAGGCAGAGCTGGAGACCCCCGATGCCGCAGTTCTCACTCCCCAGCTCTGCCCCCAGTGTGTTCAGCTGGGCTGGAACAGAGTGATTTTAACAAAAATATGATTGTTTGAGCCCAGGCTGGTGTTGCTCAGTGGTTAGAGCATCAGCCCACGGACTGAAGGTCTCTGGTTTGATTCCCGGTCAGGAGCACATACCTCAGTTGCAGGCTCGATCCCCAGCCCCAGTTGGGGTCCCTGCGGGAGACAACCAATTGATATGTGTCTCTCACATCGATGTTTCTCTCTCTCCCTTCCACTCTCTCTGAAAAGCAATGGAAAGAATGTCCTTATGTAAGGATTAAATATATATATATACATACATATGTGACTGCGTTTCTGCTGTTCTGTGGTCCCTCCTTTGGGGATAGGTAGGCAGGTAACAGGACCCGAGGGCCTTGGGTAGAAGCAGGCTGGCGGGTACTGCTTTGGGCAGGACAAGGTCCCCTTGCTCAGCCCAGGGGCGGGGGACCCCGTGGAGTTGGCCCTGCCCCGGTGTGTCTGCCCCAGCAGTGGCGTCAGGCCTGCCCACCCCACAGCCTGGACCTGGCGCCTTGTCAACAGACAGATCCACCTGCTGTCCTGGGACTGGGCTTCCCCTCTGGGCTGAGAGGAGGCCAAGGGACTGGAAGGATCCTGCCCGGGGGCTGCTGCTGGTCCTGACTGCTCCGCCCAGTGAGGGGCAGCCTGCTGGTGTACGGACGCTGCCAAGGCCAAAAGCTGGAGGACGTGGACCAGTAAATCACAGAGCTGGCCCAGCATTGGGGGGGGTGCTCAGAAGCTGTGGGTGACCATGGTGGGGCCTGGCCCTTGTGACAGCTGTGAGGATGTGGGCGGATGGGTAATGGACGGACAGGTGGAGGAGGGGAGGGAGGGCTGGATTGGCAGGTAGGGGAGCTGGTGGGCGGAGGGAGGGAAAAGTGGGCCCGCGCCACAGAGCACCTAGGACCCGGGCAGAGCATATGGCGAACAGGCCCCACATCAGCCCTCTGGGGGCAGTTTATATACCTAAGCTCTCCCTTCGTGACTTCAGCAGATTTACGAGGTCAGGAAATTCTAACCGTGGTCCAGTGTTAAGATATTTCCATCACCCGCCAGCCGTCGTTCCCAGCGCCCTCCCAGCCCTGCCTCTGCATCGGCTTTTTGTGTACGTTTCACGTGGACGTTTTGTGACTGGCTTTCATCCCGCATGTCTCCGAGGCCCCACTGGAGGGTGTCCGCTCTCCGGCGCCCTGCATGGCTGCCTGGCGCTCCTGCGTGGGGAGCACGCTGTCCCTCGCTCGCCTGTCTGGGGCACCGGCTGCCCCGGGTGAGGCTCTGTGAGGGGCGCTCTGGGACACCGCACGCTGGCCTGGGCCTTCCTGTGGGCGTGTGTTCGTTTCTCGGGGTTTCCAAGCAGGGAATGGCCGGGTCAGAGACCAAGTTTATGTTTAACTTTTTAAGAAACTGCCAAACTGACTTCCAAAGCAGCTGCACCGTTTTTCATTCCCGCCATGCACCATTTCGAGTTTGGGGGTGTAGGTGTGTGCAGGTGTCTGTGTCCTGGTCACCATGTGTGACATCCCACGGTGAGGCGTGGCCCCTGCAGTGCGAACCTTGTCAGCCACACCCATGTGCTCCCTGAGGGCATGGGGTCACACCGCGGGCCCCCAAGCTTGGTGACTTGTACTGCCTGGCCTGATGTGTGTAGGGCCTGCGGGGGG